ACGAGCCCTTCTGTGCCTTCACCCCCTCCTACTAGTCTTGATGTGGCTTCTTTAATTTTGTAGTTGTAGGACTTCCATTTACATCGATGTCAGGCAGTTCTGAATGATGGTTGTTCTGCTGTGGTTGTGGAGGGAGGTGAGTGTTGCATTTATCTATGCCACCATCTTGACCAGACGTCTCTGCTCTTTAAATTTCTTGCCATACTGGCTTGGTGATAATGCATTCATTTAGCATTTTTTTTCTTTTTTTGTCTTGTGAACTATTTATTTGTCCTTCAAGTTTTAAATGATAGCCTTGGTGGATAGAGTAGTCTTGGTTGTAGGTCCTTGTTTTTCACCACTTTATTTCATGCCAATCCCTTCTGTCCTGAAGTGTTTCTGGTGAGAAATCAGCTGACTGTCTAATGGGAGCTCTCTGTTGGGCAACTAAGTGTCTCTCCCTTGCGGCTTTTAAGATTCTCTCCTTTGTCTTTAACCTTTGGCATTTTAATTATGATGTGTCTTGGTGTGTTTCTCTTTGGGTACATCTTGATTGGGTCTCTCTGTGTTTCCTGAACTTTTGTGACTTTTCCTCATTATGTTAGGGAAGTTTTCAGACATTATTTCTTCAAATAGATTCTCAATCGTTTGCTTACTCTTCTTCTGGTAGCCCTATGTTGTGGGTGTTGTCATGCTTGATGTTATTCCAGAGGTCCTTTAGACTTTCCTCATTTTTTGTAATTCTCTTTTCTTTTTGATGCTCTGCTTGGGTGCTTGTTGTTATCTTGTTCTGTAAATCACTACTTCTGTCTTCTAGTTCATCTAACTGCTGTTGATTCCGTCCTGTGTGTTCTTTATTTCAGAGGTTGTATTCTTCATTTCTGACTCGTTCTTTTCTGTGGTTTCATTGTCCTTTTTAATGCTTACCATCTCTTTGTTTAAGTTCTCGCTGAGATCATCCATTTTTCCCCAAAGGTGCTTGAGCATCCTGATAACCATTCTTTCTCTGCATCTGGTATATTGGTTGCTTCCATTCCATTTAATTATTTTTATAGGAATTTCTATTCTTCTTTCATATTTTTTTGTCTCTGTTTATTTGGTAGATCTGTTATTGTTCCAAAACTTGTTATGATGGCTTTATGATGTAGGTGTCTTGTTGGGCTCAGTGGCACAATCTTCTAGATTACCTGAGCTCAGTGCTCCAGGAATGTGTCTTGTGGGTTATGTGCACCCTCCTGTTGTTGTTGAACCTCCCAAGCTTTAGAACCTCAGTAGGGTGGGGCAACCAGAATTGCGAGGACAGGGTTGGTAAGTCCCCTACTTCTTTGCCATGCAGTCAGGCACACAATAAGAGGAAAGTGGCCTCTACTCCAGAACTGTACCTCTTAGCCTCTGCCAAAGTCTCCAACTCTAGCTTCCTCAGGAGGACCGTGCCACAGGTTCGGGTTGGGTGTAGCCAGCTGTCCCCTCTGCAGGAGCAAACTCAGCAGGATGAGGCCTGGGGCTCAGGAGGGCACATCAAAAGAATCTTCGCCCTGGCTGGTTTGGCTCAGCGGTTGGAGCGTCGGCCTATGGTCCGGAGAGACCCAGGTTCGGTTCCTGTTGGGGGCGCGTGCCTTGGTTGTGGTTTGTCCCCGGCCCTGCTTAGGTCGTGCAGAAGGCGGCCACTCGATGTGTCCCTTTCACGTCAATGTTTCTCTCTCTCTTTCTCCTTTCCACTCTATCTGAACAAAAAATGGAAAAATGTCCTCGGGTGAGGATTAAAAAAAAAAGAATCTTCCATTGAGGGTGATGCTGGCTGATTTTGCAGGAGGGGGTGAAGCACTTCGTCCAGTCTCAGACCATAGTGTCTGAGGGAGACACTGTGAATGTCCCAGCTCTAAGCAGCATTCCCTTTCCTTCACAGAGCTGATCTCAGCAGGGTGGGGCCACTGGGACTCGGGAGAGCAATACTCAGAGGTATTGTCAGTGAGCCTGTAGGAAGGGGTGGGCTCTTTTTCTTCTTCCCAGGCAAAAGCTCTGAGGAAGGCATGCACTGAAGGTCCCGGCTCTGAACTCTCAGATCCTCCTTCGGGAATGAGCAGGGCAGGGCCTCAGCAGCCAGAAGGCAGGTCAAATTAGTCTCCTGTTGGGGAATAGCATGGGCTGAGCTCCCAGGGTGAGATAGGAGTGCCTCCCCACACACGATATAACCACACAACCCAGCACCTGCCTGTCTGATTCCCAGATAAAAGCCTCCCCAGTAGCTGCACTCTGAAAGTCCCAGCTCTGTGTGACATTCTGATCCCTTCACATGACTGAACTTAACAGGACTGGCCCACAGGTTGTATAAGGGCAGGCCAAGCAATTCAGCGGTTGGTGGGAGTACTGGCATGCACTGGAGGCCGGGAAGAATGGTCTCTTTTCCAAAGCTACACAGTTCAGTCACTCTCTGAGTCTCTGCCAAGAGCTTCTTCAGAAAAAGAATGCCCTAAAGTGTCCTGCTTGGTTCAGTCAGCAGATCCCTCTGCAGGATCCAAGCGTGGCAGAGTGGGGTGTTGCCAGTAGTTGGAGGACCCAGAAGTGCATTCCCCAGCTGGTGCTGTAACACTAGGAGTGCTCAGCTCTGGGAAGATGGCATCTGGATCTCTAGCAGACTCCCTTTTCTCCCAGGTGGACCCAATCCCCACTGATTTTTACCATCAGATGCTTTGTGGGCTCCTCTTCCCATCTCTTGCTCTGGGTTGGGTATCCCTCTGTGGGATTGCAGCCCCATGCTTCTTAGGGGAGAGAGTTTTGCAGCTGAGATATCCCTCTGGCTTCTCTCAGCCACTGTACGTGGGTACGGTGTCCAGTCCTTTCCACACCTCCACCCTTCTTACCAGTCTCTATGTGCTCTCTTCTGTGAATCCTTGGTTATAATATTTCAGTTCAGCTAGCCTTCAGTTGGTTATTCAGGTTGATTGCTCTATAATTTAGCTGTAAATCTGATTTGCTGTTGGGAGCAGGTGAGTGTAGCTTCCACCTACTCTGCAGCCATCTTGGAACCCTTACTATATTCTTCTTAATGTTTTATTACATTTGTATGAATTAGGCAGATAAAATACTTCATTTGCTTGGTGCTTATTTTGTTCATGGCACACAGTCACTCTTATGTGGAAGAGTCTTTGGGAAATGATTGACACCATGAGACTCCGCTTGGCTAATGTTTCTCACGAAGCTCCATGCCATGAATTCCTTCTGTGTTACTCCCAGAAGGATTAGATTGCTTTTAGGTGACTTTCTTCAGGGTAGTTGATGTGGAAGAAGATACTTTAATACTCTAACCTGATTTGTAAGTTAAAATGACCTTTTATTGTATACTAGGAGGGCACATACTGTAAACCTTTACATTATCTTGATTTCTTAAAAAATTAACTTTATTTTCAGAAAGGCTAGCTTTTATATCGGATTCTGTCAAAGCACTAAAATTTTGAGGAATTACCGGAAGTCTTAAGTTTGCTAATTCTGTTGTGATAATGTTAGGAATGTTCTGGTACATACCCAGGTTGCATAGTGATTAAGGATATAGGCTTTGGAGCTCGTTTCAACACTTACTGTAAGACCTGAGGCCTGGGTTACTTCACCATACAGTGGGAATGATAACAATTACACTGTTTCATGTGGTTGTGATCATGTGTTTTTGTTTTAACTTGTTAAAACTGAAAATATTCT